TTTATTTGGTTAAGCTTATAGCTAAAATCCGCTCTGAGATTACTAGATTAGTAAACCTTGTATTTTTGCACCGCATTAAATAGTGCAGTTCGTTTTCGACCTCCGGCGTTTAAATCGCATGCAATGTTGACAAATTATTTTATCGTACGGAACATTGCTATGTTTCAACAGCTAATCTATGTCTATGAGCTGAAATTTGAGCTGAAATTCTGAGCTTTGTATAACAGCTCGATGATATAAATTTAACATTACTATAATTTCAGAAATATATATTTTTCAAATCCAAATAACAGACGAATTTTTGGAATCTATAAAACCAATCAAAGTTCTTCCTAAATCCTCTAATTTTAACTTGCCTTGATTTCCACCTTGTTGAATCTGGTCTTTCTCGTAATAGTACTCTTTTAATGTCAGATACTTAATTTCCAAATACACGTGTTTCCTGTACTCTAGGCCAGTGAAGTTGAAGCAAATTTACGAGATAAAGCAATGAGCTGGTTACGTGTGTTAAATGAAAACTTCCGTCTACAGCCCGAATCGTTCGTTTTAGCTGTTCATATATTTGACAAGTTTTTGCTAACAACAAAGGTAAAGTATAATTATGAATTTGTATCTCATGTTTTCACCAACTTAATAAGTAGGAAAATTTTCAGGGACATATTTCAGTTTTCATACGCCCGTTTTCAAAATTATGAGACCAACCCGTTTGTTTATGAATGTATAGCTTTGCGAGCATCTATATATAAATAATTGGGAATGACTCTCAAGACGTCTTAGAATTTAGTGAAGAGATGATTTAGGGATTTTAGTGGATGAAAGTATTGGAAGTTTAGAAAACGGACAAAGTATGGTGTTTATTTTGTTAATTGGAGTAATTTTTCCTATTTTCATGTATATATAGGTCAGAGTGAAGTATTTGCGTTGTGTAGCCATTACGGCTTACTTCATATCCATCAAAGCAGTCGAGGAAGACGAGGTAAATCATTTAAGAATCCGTTTTGGTTCCCGATTTGAGGGGAGGGGGGCGTAAGTTAAAACGGGTGACACATAAATTACGTTGCAACTTGTTTTCTAAAATGTAGCCTATGTCAATCGAGCTGTAGTCCATCACGTAGGCCAGCTTAAAGGCTGATTGCAGTTGGTAGGGGGAAATATTCCCAAAAGATACGTTTGTTCACAACTAAAATCTATCAAATTAAAATACTGTATGCCCACACTATGGCGACCGTGGCCAGATAATTAGGTGGAATAATTCATAAAACTAGTTCATCCCAGGTGAGCTTCCCCACAAACCGGATTCCTATACATATGAACAGACCCTATAACGCCTGCTGCACACGAGAGAAACTTGCTGAGCTGACCGCTTCGAGTGGTGGCTAGTTCGGCATGTTTCTCTTGTGTGCGGATAGTTTTCGTGAGGATTTGACCTCTCGAGGCTTTGAGGAAAATATCTATCGTGTTTGATATTTTTCAACTCGCAAGGAAAATATCTCAACGTGTGCGGATGTTGTGAGCTTGGTGCTGAGCAGCTTGAATTAACTAGCCAATGAGAACCCATGGTTTCTTCACGTGACTTTGATCAAAATGAGGACAATGGAGGGAAATGCAAACGATTTAATCAACAACGTTGCTGTTGAGTAGTTTCCCAACGGCGTTGTGCATGCGGTGAAAATGCATAGCTGAGCTAACCACGCCAGGGGCGGATCCAGGATTTTTCGTACGTTAGTCAAAGTTTTCGGATGTACAATCTAGTTTTGCGGGCGGCGAATGCGCGAGGCACCTAGGGGGGTCTGTCCCCCAGGAATTTTTATATTTTTAAACCTCCAAAGCGCAATTTGCATCACTCTGAAAGCAGCTTCAACAAAAAATTAACTTCATGAAATGGGAGATAATTATAGCAACTATCAGTCTGACTGACTCTCACAACTCGCTCCTTAGGGAAAAGTAAAGGAGAAGTACTTGCAGAAATGTGATAATTGTGGAAGACGTTTCATTTTATCAAATTACGGATTGCAAGTATTATGTTTAACTAGCTCATGATAGTACTACACTCATTTTTGTTGCCTAATAGCCTTGTTGAGTCATTGATCACTTGACTAGTAATCACTACAGTGTCATATTACTCAAATAAACATATTAATATCAAAGTCTTAACATTCATCAATAAAACCTGACCTTTATATCCTATGTACACTGCATTAATGCATTTATATAGGTTATCCTCCATATTAATAGCCTTCTGAGTTCTGACAGACCTTCAACCGCAAAATTACAAATATGCAAATTTGTTGTGTAAATCAAAATTCATAGCTAAATCTAAATCAAGATACGCGCATTCAAGTTACAATTTTACATATGCAACGGCGCACATCTTGTTCGCTTATAAATATTGTTATGCTGTCTAAAACGAAATGAAATTTACATATCACATTAAATTTACCTTATTGCACTTCAGAATAAAGATCTCGGCGCCAATACTTCTACTGAAACAGTCAAACTGTAGTTCGTGCTATTCGTGGCGCTTACGCCGCTAAGGCCGCTTAGCAACTGCTCACTGAATGGAACTCTCCGATATTTAGCGTTGATTTCCCTCCCAAGATCAGCGCAACAGTCTTGTAAGACAGCTAAATCATTCACCGCAAATGCGGATTGAACCGTTTCGTGAATACTACAAGGACTGCAGTCTGGAGCAGCAGACATTTCCGAATTTTCCGTAGATATCTTTAAATTGAATCTTTCGACAAAACTACAACACGACACTTCGAATGAGCGCGCGCTCGGAAAGACTTTACCACGCGTCAAATATTAATGATATTCCGACTAATGGAGCGCCCCTGACTTTTGTAAATCAGTCAGAACTCCCCACCGATCAGTCAAAATCGCAAAAAATCGCTTGTTACCATGGCAATAAGCGTCTAGACCAATCAAAACACTGGATTTTGACTTTTTGACTGACCGACTTTGCGTATGTCAGCTGCTCATTGACTTGACTAAGCTCGTCGGCTCAAGCACTGTATGAAATTTGATCACTGGACTACAGTTCGATTGGAATGTTAATTGCTAGCGCTGCATGATAATAGATACTGGACTATTATAAGGTGTCGCTGCATGATAAAAAATAACTGGACTATTGGTCGAATATTTAAGACTTTAATTAAGTTTGCAATTTTTACGTTAGTCGCGCGACTGGTTTGACGACCCCTAGATCCGCCCCTGAACCACGCAACGCGAGGCTGTCAGCTCAGCAAGTTTCTCTTGTGTGCGGCAGGCTTAAGGAATAACAAAAGGCGAAATAAAAGGCATTTCCAATAAAAATATATCTTATTCGGGTGAACCAAGTAGGTTATGAGAGCAAATTCAGTACTAAAATTTGTATTGTATTATTATTGTAGTTTCTATAGTTTTCGATAAATACCATGTCTCTTTCAAACTGGTAACCGACGATACCCAAACTACCATAATTATCCGATTTCTTGTCATCTTCAAAATGCATCCAAAGTACTTTGTTCAATTTCTTATAGAATATCCCTGTCGTTGGTGTGGTGTTGGAGGCCAGCCAATGCGGATGCTCGAAATCAGATATACTAAAAATGGAATTAATTATATTGAAAACAATTGACTGGAAAATATACGTCGCAACGCCCATGATATTTTTACAACACGTAAGTTTTCCCTCATGTCATCACTGACGGTTAACTGGGAGAAAATTTACCATAGACACTTCCCGAACTTGTTTGAGTGCACACGAAACAATAGTTAAAAATCGAGGCGGACAGTGTAATAATTCGGGAAGTGTCTATATTGATCGAAAATACAAAACGCACGTGATGCCTAAAATAGATGATGAGTTATATCCAGACCTATAGCTTGTTTTCTAAAACGTACATGCATCAAAAGCTAACGCTTTCGTAAGGAGGATTGGGAGACGAACTTGAGTGCCACAAGATTAGAATCGTCCAGTATACGAGACTCTTGGGATTTCGAAAATCCCGTATAGGATTTTTCTGGATTATTTTCCAATTTTTTAAAAAAAAATTTCGGAATTTTTAATGGTTTTGAACAGACTTTTTAAGCGTTTAAGGATTTTTTAAGGTGTAAAGTATGAGTTGTTTGGGAGTGATAGATCTCTTGAGAATCGTAGCGAGTACATATACCAAAGCATGCTATATACTATATCGCAATTTGAAACCATTCTTCATGAAATCTCTTTTAGGCTTTGGAAGTGTTAAATCAGCAGCAGTTGCGGGATATGCAACTGATCGTGAATTATATTTAAAATATGCTGGTGTATAATCATGGATTTTTTGTCTCAATATAGTTCTATCAGATGCTTTTCGCAGCCTATCGATCGGACATTAAAAATATTTCGGAAAAGTTGCTCGTTGAAGCTGAAGGAACGATACAAGAGTGTATGTGTAAATGGCAACTGACGAAATTTAAGGTACATATGAAGATCTAGATAGTTTATTGCAAACAGATTACATCACAGTCCATGTGCATGCATGCAGGCTAAATTGCATAATTAAACGGTAAATAACGTAGTGACGTATGCTAATTTATTTACAAAGTTATAAATTAAAAATTATATTGATAAAATAAGAACTTCAAGTTATAATGGTATAATGGTGAGATGACCAAAATCCTCATATTCACCCATATACACCGCACATTGGCATCATCTTAGTATTTATGCATAAACTTGTCGTCAGAGATCGACAGCTGTCTCTCTGTAGCTCAGGGGCCACCAGGGGCCACTTGTTCAAAGCTGGGTTAGCTTAACCCTAGGCCTAGGTTAACCTAAAATTCAAAGCAAACTTTCCAACATCCTGTTAATATTTCTTCAGAGGTCTTGTCTGAGTCAGTAGAAGTTTTCTTCTCTGAAGTTTTGAAATCCGCTAGTCCACCGGCCCCAGTTGGTTAGAGCGCTGCACCGGAATCACAGGGCTACAGGTTCGCCGATAGTTGCATTTTTCGCAACTAACTACTCCTGGTTAGGTATAATAAATGTATATAAAAAATTCCACTCTCATTAGTGTAATTGGTAAATATCAGTAGAGACACTGGAGAGCTTCTATATACAACATGCGTTTCAATTAAAAATTATAGAAAAGAACAAAAAAGTATAGATTTACTCTTACTTGCAGCTGATATCTAAGCTGAATTACGAAGGACGTATAGCTCAACCTGATCGAGTCGTTGACTCGTTGTCGAAAATAGAAAATTACAACTGATTACATTTAGCCAATGAATTTTCTTCACTTGACAAGTGGACTGCATGACTAGTGAAAAATATATTTGGGGCGCCTAATCTAGTATCGTAGAATAATATGTTTACACACTATGCACTAGCTGTCGATACATGGCGAAATCAGTTAATTGCCAAAACGTTATTATTAAAACGTTAAAAATATTCATACACTTTTAAACGCATATTAGGATCTTTCGGCAGCTTTTGTTTCTACCGATCAGACCACACTTCACAGTGATTAAACTTTTAAATTTGTGTAAAAAATTAAGCTGAGCGCTAAATTTTGTCAAGAAATCACGAATTTGCCCTCGATTTATAAAATTCTGACTTTGCACTGAATGTCTTACCAGACGAAAAAAATCATTGCACGTGTTGCCACTTCTCTTGCGTCGGCAACGCGTTTAAATTTAACCCGTTGTGTTGCACGCGCGATAAAAAATTGCACGTGTAACCTGGGCATTATAACTCATGTCTGACAATGGAGCACACCGACGGTGGATGGGTCATTTAGGGGCTGATCCCAACCCTGTCAACATTCCCTGTGGGAAGAAACCGGAGTACCCGGAGAACTCATCACTGAGCTGTATAATAACTGGAGTGCCCGGAGAGAACTCATGCACAAGTCTCGGTAGAGCGTTGACTGTATGACTCTATTTACATGCGTAAGTGCATGCCAAGAGTCTGCAGTGCGAGAATCGAACCCGTGGACGTGGTCTCAGAGGTGAAAGGCGCTTGCTCTGATACGAGACTTACCCAATATACAAATAGTTTTACCATGGACCTGGTTATGCAACCTCGTTCCCAGCTGATTATGGAGTCACGCTTATCCAACGATAGTTTATTCATGCACATCCATGCATGACTGCATGGGTATATTGTACATTGTTTTGTTTGAGGGAAACTCTTTTAATCTCCGAGAGTTTTTTTTAATTATTTAAAGTGAAATTTTTTTCCAGAGTTCGATTCTGGCTTATGCTGTTTTGGTTAGCAAATTTCAAGGGATTTTAGATGAAACGCAGCTACAGACTATACAAGACGTAGTGAAGGTATGCTATATTGTCCACTGAGATAAATTCACTCAGTTTTCCCTATTTCATTTACATTAACTCTATTCACATATTTGCTTTTAATTATACATATACTGCTTTGATATATTTCTATGATAAAACTACAAGAGATGAGCCGATCACAAAAATTGCCGACTAGTGAGGCCAATTATTTTCAGGCCGATTATTCCAAATATATAATCTGCCGATTATCGTTATGTTAGTAACCACCAGTCCCGTACAAACGACCGTACAACGCAGGTTCGATTCCTGCCAGAGGGCATAATAATATATAGTTGCATTTTTCACAAACTGCATACTTGAAATTCCATTTACAAATTGCTTCAACAATTATTTTAAAATCGGCTTTGTATAGGTTATTTTGAGGCAACGAGGGGAATAGGGGATATGTGATTTATTCACCGAGGCGCACAGCGCCGAGGTGAATAAACACATATCCCCGAGGTGCATCAAAATAACGTACTTATTTTTCACAATAGAGAGGTTAAGATACCCCCGTTTCGGTTTACGGGTACGAGTAGTGTCATCTTGTTTTACTGATGTCCGTAATTCGATCATACTTTTTGTGTTTTCTTGCAATAGACAATAATATAATGCGACAAATGTGCACCTTAATTACGAGTATAGGTACAGACATCGACGAAAATATTGCTAACCAAAATCATACTACTCGTACCCGTACACCGAAACCGGGGTATCTTAACCTCTCTATTGCGAGGTCGCGTTGATGAGTCAGAATAGAAATAATTCTTAATGCCATATTGCCTTCGTTATGTTGTTTTTTTCTCATTTTTTGTGCTGCAAAGACATTGCAGGGGATTATTAAATTAAACGGAAATTGATTACAGGGGAATATTGAATAATTATATTCCCGGATAAAAACAAAGGAAACCGAGCAGGGTGAAAAATAAGCCGCAATTAATTTCATTTCAGTGATTTCAATACAACAACTATATATATTTTCATTCAACTCTTTCAGATCGACAATAAGGAACTGTTCCAGTGCAAAGTTTTACTAATGAAGGACAAGACTGACAATCACACTATTTCAATGAAAGAACTCAGAACAGTCGATGTAATTCATACAGACTCTAAAGAAAAACTAGAGGTTGTCAAAACGTGACAAATCTTCAAACTAGGTGATTCTGTTGAAGAGTACGGTGGGACTGCCTCATTCTTTAATAAATCGCGTTTTATTTATCCAGGACAACTTTTATTAATTCACCAATACACCCTTCCGGAAAGTCGTTTTCGTGATTGAGATGTTAGACTTTAACTAATGTCACATACCCGAAAACGAGGCTTTAAAGTGTGACGTACTACTTTCCGGAAGGGTGTATTGGACTATTCCCGAACAAAAAACTTTTTTAAATGGACGAAACCCAGGCGGTGCGTTGGACCGAGGCGGTGCGTTGGACCTGGTTGGATTTACCTTTGTATAAACTAAGGTTTCAAACAAATTATAATTTCCTGAAACTGAGATTCTGACGAACTTCGAGGATGGAGGAAGTGTACCGAGATACTAAGCTTCATTCTTAATTATACTAACTCCAGTGCTGCTATTTTACATACTGTATAGCCATTGAAGCCTATAACAACTTTGGGTTACAAGTAAAAGTATTTACTGTATTTGTACGTTGTCAGTCTTTCTGAATCGCTGCATGTGGGGAGGGAGGATTACTGTACATAGGTGGAGGATTATTGTACATACTGTAATATGATGAAATAAATAAATATAAAACAACACAATTCATGGAGAGTTTTGACTTTTGAGTCTTAAGCTACGTTTACACGCTGCGATTTGTCGGGCCGATTTTGAAAAAAAATCGATGTCCCTTCTTCGACATTTAGCGATTTAAACGTTCAATTGAAGCTGTCCGCTCTCTCGTCTGTTCATATTATAGTTTTCTGCGTGCGAAAAGTTTTCAACAACTTTACAACGGAAGAAAAATCGTTGAATCGTGAGAAAATCTGTGGTTTTGTTACAGATTTTTCTCCCGATTTTGTGAATCGCAATGTGCTGACGCGAGTACTCACGACAGGTTGTTTACATACAGCGAGCAAAATCGGCCCGACAAATCGCAGCGTGTAAACGTACCTTTATAAATCAAGGTAACGTGAATTTTTACAACATGAAGTACATCACACTGTGTGCTTAGTCTACCTCTTTTCAATATTTAACTGTGTTAACAGATTTTTAAAATACAGAAATATTGTTAAATTAATAATTTTTCTCCACAACAAAGACAAATCAAAAGGTGGCAAATCACAAGCCAGGGTGGAAAAAATACTAGAGCACGCGAGGAAATTTCAACGAGTGCAGAACCACACGTCTCAGTCGTTTGATCCAACAATCCATTCCACCCATGGTTGACATGAATAATTCCTTAACTTTAAAACCATGTTTAGTAGACAGTATTTATGGCAATATGGTAAATATTGCGAGCCTGCATGATTTGTTTTACTTTTAGGTTGTACTTGTACACACAGGAAGAAAATATATTGTTTTCTCCATCTCAGGTAAACCAACAAATGCTTGCCCAGATTTATCACTTTTTATCGTGTATTGACGATGCAGTGGTGCGTCTCATGGTGCTAGCACACAGTTGCCCCTTTACAGATCGATGTGTAGAAAATGTAGTGAATAATATTACGCCAAAAAAGTTACAGCGTAGTCGTGAACACCTACCAATAACAAATTTCAGCATTTTTAAGTGAGCACCTTTTAAAAACGAGAAAGTATTTTTTTATATACTACCTTTCTTATCTCAACAAAAACAGCAGAAAATTACAATAAAGAAAATAATTTTGAAAATTCTAAAATTCAACTTTTACAATTAATGACGTCATAACACGTCACAATTTGTTGCCATGAAAATGTGAGCGTAACATACACTTAAACAAGGCATACCGTCCACCTGTAAAAGTTTCGTCGGAATACACCAAATGGTTCAGGAGATATTGACCGCGGGCACACACACCCTCCCCCCTCCCCAAGTCCCAGAAGGCCCCAAAAGAGCCCAGTCTGGATCACGTTAGTGCTTTTGTTACCACAAACCTTGAGTTTTTTTGCTCAATGACAAGACTAAAGTCATGTTTATATATGTTTTTATATAATAACGTTAAGAATTCAAGCGCTTTCATTGGTCAAGAGCCATGATCTATTAGAGGACAGACGCACGGAATTACGTCACACGTGATGTCACTTAAGGTAGCCAATAGCATTCCCTCCTTGTGATACTTGTAAAATTTCGACTTTTTCAAATTTCCAAATGTTTGGGTGGATAAAAGTTATTTACTTTAAACCTTTTATTATATAAAACAAATAGATGAGATTTTGCCGTTGTCTGTTCAGTTATAGACACACAGTATGACATCATGTGGGAAGTTTGCTTGAAAATCATCAACTTTGATATAAGTTATTTCTAGCTTCCTTCACATGCAAATGGCGGAAGTACTGAATATTTGGCAGAGCATTTCAACTTGTCACGAAATTGATAATAATTGGGAGCTAGTAATGAGAGAAGGAGAAAGGAGTGGAAGCATGAATTATCCATCATGCACAATTTCCAACTGTTCCACTTACTTGCTTCGCCAAATGTTGCCGTAATTGCACCATTGGGAGTGATTTTAGACACCCTGTTGTCAAGAAGTCTATTTGTCATATGAAAATGATTGTGGTAGGGGGATGACCGACTAGCATCCCCGCCAATATAGCAGAGAGGTTAAGATACCCCGGTTCCAGTTTACCGGTACAGGTAGCGTCGATTTGTTCAGAAATTTCCTCTGGTGTTTGCATGTTTGAACATATTTTTTCTGGGTTTTTTTCCGATAGACTTATGACAAAACTCACAGACATCGATGCAAATTTCAAAACAAGATGACACTACCGATAAACCGGAACCGGGGTATCTTAACCTCTCTATTAATTTCTCTTGCCATTCCACACAGAAAAGCATTCAATATTAACCTGTAGTTTGTAATTCACTTCTTTCCAATCACAATCATCATTATCTGGTAGGTAAAGATGCAGCAGAACCTCCCATTCCCATTTCTTTATCAGCTGGTGGACCAATTTCCATGAATACTGACATTACTCGATGATTTAAATTCACCATTTTATTTACACATTCATTCACACACTCGTGCTAGAAAACAATTGCAAGTTAGAAATAAAGTTAATAATAAAACATGAAATCTTATTTGCAAGCCTACAATCATAAACAATTCCGTAGACACTTAGCTGTAAACTAATCTGTAACTTAGTGTTCATATACAGGTACACATGTTGGCATCTTTGTATCTCCTCGCCCCCTTGTACAATATTGGTTTTGACATTATAGTTCAGAAACTTTAACTTAACCAATTGAAAGGGGGGAGCTGGAAATGACTGTTTTTATTGACGATTGTATAGAGGTTTATTCAAGAAACCCTTGGCAGCAAGTTTTTTCCATAAGAATTTACATTATTAACAAGATACTAAATTTTCAACTATCCTTCTACTTACAGTTACCCCACATTAATATTCACGTGTTTTAAAGTTTAAAAATCTGTCGGTTTTCATGAAATGTACGCATTTAATTCAGTTATATCTCTTAAGTTATAATTATGATTAATGGTAACATACACGATTATATTTTCGGAGGGGTTCAGATAGTGTGTTGTCTTTCGCAAACGTCTTAGAAAATGTCGTGTCTTTTCTTAGATAGTGTCTCAAGACCAGTTTTATTCAACAACGCTTCATATGCGATACTGGGAACAATTATTCTCATGGCTCGCTTTTGCATGCACCCTTTCAATTTTCGTACTTAGATAATCCGAGAGTGCAGACAAAACTAGGGCTGCGTACTCAAGAATTGGTCTAACTAGGCTACAGTACACTTTAGCCCAATCTTTGCTCTCTTCAATATACACAGGAAGTAAAGCCCCTTGCTGGCTTTCCTAACAATATAGTCGTAATGTGTATTCCATGCGCTGCTTTTATACACGCCAAACAGTTTGTATGACGTAACTGATTCAAGTATATGGTCATCAATTCATACAACATCCTGAAATAGCTAAATACCATCAACTAAAAGAGAAGTTGGGCTTGGTGAACACCTATTATATGGTCGACAAGGTCAAAATGAGCAACTGCCTTGGACTGAGCAACTACCTCGATCAAGGGCTTCCAAGACATTGGGTAATACAAGAACCAATGTTGTCGAATGGCCTTTCATCGCAAACTGATATGGATCAATCTTAATGCCGGTGTCACTTAATGCTGGTGTCACTTAATGCTGGTGTCACTTAATGCTGGTCTCACTTTTCACTTAATGCTGGTGCCACTTAATGCTGGTGCCACTTAATGCTGGTGCCACTTAATGCTGGTGTCACTTAATGCTGGTGTCTTAATGCTGGTGCAACTTAATGCTGGTGCAACTTAATGCTGGTGCCACTTAATGCCGGTGCCACTTAATGCTGGTGTCACTTAATGCTGGTGCCACTTAATGCTGGTGTCACTTAATGCTGGTGCCACTTAATGCTGGTACCACTTAATGCTGGTGTCACTTAATGCTGGTGCCACTTAATGCTGGTGCAACTTAATGCTGGTGCCACTTAATGCCGGTGCCACTTAATGCTGGTGTCACTTAATGCTGGTGCCACTTAATGCTGGTGTCACTTAATGCTGGTGCCACTTAATGCTGGTACCACTTAATGCTGGTGTCACTTAATGCTGGTGCCACTTAATGCTGGTGCCACTTAATGCTGGTGCCACTTAATGCTGGTGTCACTTAATGCCGGTGTCACTTCTAAGATAAAGCTTTCTAGGGGTGCACCGGATTTCAAATCCGGCCGGAATTCCGGCCGGATTTAACGAATTTTCCGGCATCCGGCCGGATTTGGAGAAAATTCGGGCGGATTTAAATTTCTGTTTTCACCTTAAAAAATTCACCAAGAATGGGATAAACCATCAATTTGGCAGCTTTAAAGTTTAAAAAACACTTATACTATGATAAAATATCAAGTTATTAACAAAAAGATATTTAAAAAGGTTTAAACACAATCAAAAATCTAAACTGACACTAACTAAAAATAGTAAAAAACATAAACCACCATTTTGAATACTAATTTATCCCCAATTGTCCCCATTACTGGTTTATCTCAAATCCGGCAAATCCGGCCGGAATTTTTGCCCAAATCCGGTAAATCCGGTTCTGGCCGGATTTGAAAATTCCAAATCCGGTGCACCCCTAAAGCTTTCCATAATTTCTGATATTTGTAAAGTTCTAGACATACGGCGAAGGTCTCCCCAATCTCGTTTGGTGGCATACATTTCGGTACCGGCGACAATCTTGGACAAAAGTGATCAGGATTTTTTCCTTCTCTCAATGTATTGTACTGTTACAAATTTCTGATAAGATTGGGGCAAAGCAAAAGGCAGTAAGGTGTGACAGAGGTTGAGCATGGTTCCTTCACTGTAATGATGCTCACGCCTTATAGGGGAAATGTCAGTGAAACTGAATGGCTTATTGCAGAACTTGCATGCATTGATATTGTCGGGAGGAAGCTGGTCGAATATACAGCATGGTGATACATTAGCTGATCAAGAGCGAAACTGTCATTTAATTTATTAAGATCTGCAGTTTTGTGTTTAGGATAAGGATCTAGAACAGGTCATGACTTGGAACCTCGTTTTCGTGTTAATGCTGTATTTCCATATTTATTGATCAAAATCAAAAATTTTTATCGCACATGTGTTGAAGAACAGAAGAAGGATGTTCAATCTGTTTCTCTGTGCATAGCCCATGAGAAAAAAACTAGAAATCCTTTCCATTTAAGGTGGTCCTAAGTTGAAAACAGTGTAGTTGTGATTTTCTTGGTCAATTAGATAAACAAGCTAAGCTTAGTTGCAGTATACTTTAAGTTCTTGTCAAAGCCAAAAAGGGATATCTGTCATTAAGAGCGCTGACTAGAACGAGAAAGAAATTTCCGATAAACATTTCTCCTTCATTGATAGTTTTACTAGCTAATTCTTGGTTTTTAGACAATAGTTACAAATCTGAGTTTATTAGTCTATTGTTGCTATTCCGTTGCCAGTGGTTAAAAGGGAGATGGATGTACTCACTGTAAAAACAGATTGGTGGAAATGACCAATTTAAATTGGTTGTCTCAGACCCATTAATTTAACTAATTTTTATTGGTTAAAACAACTAAAACAAAATGGTTAAATCAACCAATATTTTGGTTGTTTTGACCAAATAAAATAGGTAAAAAAGAGATGCATCTGAGACAACCAATTTGAATTGACTATTTCTACCAATCTGTTTTTACAGTATTGTTTAAAGAAAGTAGCCGGCAGTAAACCTCGTAACACCAGCCGGAGCTCCGGTGGTCGCCGGCTTATTTTGAAAGCCCTAGTTACTACGTAAATGGGTTAACAAAAAAACATGGAAAGACAGTCTGCCATTGGTCAAACTACATGCATCACATACAGTACATGAGCATGTCATTAATATACTGTATTAACTACTGTATTTAAAATATCTTGCAATTACTGTATTATCATAGGATGATAAAAATTGAAAACATTTACACATAGCACAAGTTATAAGCTTTACTTGTCAGGTACCTCGTCTCCAGATAAACTTCGTTCATTAAATGTTGTGATGCATCTTTTAAAACATTCCGATACCATTTTATTGTACAACATGGCAAATTCTTTATACTACAGAAGATTAAAGATTTAAATTAATTATCATAGTGTAGAAATATTTCACAGTATACATGTATATGTTATGGTTTGAACTGTGCCTTGGTTTCATTTTTATTTAAACTAATGTAGTTTCAATTATTTAAACTCGTTTATTTTTTTTCAAAGCAGTTCATTTTGAAAGTGTTTCTAAGAGAAAGGTTAATTTAAATTCCATACTTAGGGGTTATGTTGGGGTGTGGGGGAAATCTAGGACTGAGGGTTAGTCAGTGTTATGCTTAATTAAGGCAGGTTTAGATTTAAGGTTACCTGTACATTCAAGGGTTACACTGTAAATTACAGTTAGATTTAGGGGTGCCACCTATGTTTTTACTCTGTCTAATGGCAGACAATTGTTAATCTACAAGGGAAGAGCACTGGTGCTCAAATGGGTTAATGGTTGCATTGCACCCTAATTTGCCTTACTTTATTATTTAACTCCACAGACGATTTTACTTGTCAAGAAGAGAGCACTGGAGCTAAATGGGAAAGTGATTAGTGTATGCAACTTGTTCTTGTTGTGATGCGACTCATTCATTAAATTGTTTCCACTGCTTTTTTTAACAACCAAACGTTGTTTTGTGCCACAAATCAATGTTTGTCGAAACAGTCAATGAAAATGCAATGTATAATAAAACAGTAATTTTATTGAATTCAGTTTTTGTGATACCGGTATCCAGAATTGATCAAGGTCTCAATAACACTTGCCTTGACCTTGATAATTCTAGATATCTATGCGGGCAAAACAAAGTGATATTGACCAACATATTTCCTTGACTTATTCCAACATAACCCCTAAGCATGAAATCTAAATTAACCTTTCTCTTAGAAACACTTTCAAAATGAACTGCTTTGAAAAATAATAAACGAATTTAAATAATTGAAAATAGTTTTTACTTATTACTGGCTATCACAAGCTTTACAGTGTACATTTCTACTGCAATATCCTACAGCATTGCTGGTTTTGTCAAGTTGTCGATCGCATTATCCTACCGCATTGGTGCCCTACTTTCCAGTCTGGAGCACATTGACATAGGGAGATCTGATATCATATTTGTTTTGGTGACCTATAATCTTACTCACTGACCAAATCACCAGTGGTGGATTTATAGGGGGTTGTACAGGGGTGTGCACCTCTATTGGCCTTGGTCAACAGGGGTGCAGGGGGGTTGGGTTGCAAAAAATTAAATTTATATCTTAAATGTTTAAAGTATATTATTTAATTGAAAGTTTTGTGCTGTTACTCTGAGTGTATATCCACACCGCGAGCAAGCTTGAAAAATATGCCTGGCCACCGTGGACAGGCATATTTTTCAAGCTTGCTCACGGTGTGGATATACACTCAGAGTAACAGCACAAGCATCATATTCACCTGAGTACATTACACCAACACAGAAAAAATTGAAAGTTTGTTATCAGACTAATTGTTTTGGAATTCAAGACAGCACTACTAGTTCAGAATACTAAAAAGTCCAATACTAATTTTAATAATTAATTTATTTGATACTTTGATTGAAATAAAGCAAACTCTTAATTTTGCTGGAAATTTCAAGTCAAAAATTAGAAAAGCAATCAAATATTCAAACATGAAAAAAATTCATTACCATAACCGGCTGTTGGGAGGGGGCGGTCCAGGGGGTCTTAAAGTCATCCAAATTAACTAGTGAAATTGATTAGATGGCGGTAGCAACACAAGTCACATTATAATTTGGTTACAGACCTCCGTTGTGTCACTACTTTCATTCTTCAACAAGGTAACTTCAAGATTTAAGATGGCAAATAACTGTTTAAATCGGTTTTACAAAATAGTACGTCATTTTCGAAAATAACTAGGCTATAAAGTACAGACCAAGTTGAGGAAAAATAACTTTGTTTGAAAGCTTAGAGTGAAGGAAGGAGAGCAGAATTGATATTTCAAGAACTAAACAAAGTAACTGGTGGTAAACTTCATGGCACCTGCCGGAGCTCTGGCAGCCGGCAGCTTATTTTGAAAGCCCTGCACACAATCACAGTATCAAGAGAATCTGGGATTTTTATTTTATATAATTATTAATTAAATTATATTTATTCAACATATCTGTAAATTGTAATGAAGAAACTACTACATTCACTCTGATTACATTATGCTGCTAGCCGGCACTGAGTTTGGTGTGCTTGACTGACCGCCCAACACTCCCCTAAAAAAATCTTGCTGGATCCACCACAGACTGCAAATCACTGGTAGACTAAAAATCACTGGTATCACTTGGGCAACTAGTTAAAAATGTTTTAAAATTTCAATCCCTGGTTCAGGGGTAAATGCTGACTTCGATATTCAGGAGGTAAATGATATTTTATAACAAATATAAAACATTTTCCGTGTTGATATACAGCTATATCAACACAAGTGGAAATTGGGAGAAAACGAAAAATTGTAGAGTTTTCTTAATTTCCATGAGTGTCGATATAACTGTATATCAATACGGAAAAATGCTTATTTTTTTATAATATAGCACAAGAAATATAAAGAAAGAAATTTTCCAAGTTGACATTGAGTTTATATAGCCAATCAGCGTTCAGAATTTACAAATGCTATATTATAAATGATTATATGAAGGGCATTTCTTTTACGTCATGAATTCTTCAGGCATAGTATGTATAGACGTATAGTAAAACTATTAAAACCCCTGTCAGTCAGACTGAGTCAGACAGTCAGTCAGTGACTCAGTGGCCCTGTCCTCCCTATATAAAAAGCCTAGATGGTTGGCTGGTTGCCCTATAAATGCCCTGTATAATTTTTAGTTTAAACGTTTACTAGTTTTTATTATATAAAGTATAGTGCTTTATAGAGATTTCGAGCACCGATAAAAGTGATAATCTCACATGCGAGATTTACGGAGATTATTTTATGATAATCTCACATGTGATTATGTGAAAATTATCGCTTTTCAATTTTCGCTTTTCTGTATAAAAAATTTGGCTTTTCAAAGACTGTCCTTTATATAACAAACAGAAAAATACATGGGTGCTTGGAAATACCAGATTTATTTCTCGTGTTAAACATGATATCTCACGAGTGAGCGCAGCGAACGAGTGAGATATCATGTTCAACACTCGAAATAAATCTGGTATTTCCGCGCACCCATGTATTATTCTATATAAAGAATACACCCTCTATATAAAGAATACAACGACACTTACATTCCTCAGTTCAATGTTATTCATATTAGAACTTCAACCACGAGATAATTCACATAAATGCCTTATCTTCAGCAGAAACAAAATTACCAAAATTAACCGCCATTTTGTTTTCGCCATTAAATCTCGTCCCCAAGCTCCCAGTCCGCTCCAAGTGGTGATTCCAATTCCACAATAAATAAAAAATTAAAAATATTCAGATTTGTATGTTTATTAATATAATTTGCTTAGATTTCGTCGGATTTCTAGTCTCTCACATTTCGTTTTATGCAATATAAGTACTACAATGTCAGAACACAACAACATCGATCCGGTTTTGCAACGACAGTTGATGGCAGAAAGTGAAAAAGCTAAATTTCAAGTACAAGTACACAGTCTGACAGAGACATGTTGGGAGAAATGTGTGGATAAGCCTAACAACAATAAACTTGATTCAAGGACAGAGACATGTCTGCAGAGTTGTGTGGAACGATTCATTGATTCTAGTAACTTTATTGTCAACAGACTGGAGGAGCTGAGGAAAAAGTCTTGAAAGAAATGCTCACAGCCAAACTGCCAATAGTGGTTGGTTCACTTGGTTGATGTATTTTGAACCATGTTGGGTTGAGAGTGAATGGGTAATTCATGAAACAATGACAAAAACTGGAATGACTTTTGCACATGACTGCACAATGCTTGCCCATGGATACCGCTACTGTGGAAAAAGTACAGATGCTGCCCCTTTTGCCAAGAGGGGAAGGGAGAGGGGGTCAGAGGTGCTTGTTAATTATATAATTTGTAGAGCTGGGCGATTCCACAAATTTCATCTCGGGTTTTGGTCTTTTGGGGGTGGAAAAACCTTGGTTCGGTGTTGGTTTCGGTATTTTTAAAATAAGAACAATTCAAAGCATAAATTGCTCAATAAGTTGTATATAACTTTAAAATAGACAAGTTGTAAAAAGTTCAGTAAAACAAAATTAAACATAATTTCTTGGAAGTTATGTAAAAATTTCATTTCCTAAAAATATCCGAAATTTCCTCAAAAGTGAGTAGACTGGAAACACATAGGAAACTTCTTCTGCACATGCTCGGTGCTGACTGAGAGCACTAGGCCTGAAACCCTATTATTTTTCATTTCAAAATATTTCAGATCTAAGTCCTAAGACATGCTTAATGAAAGTGAATGATATCGGGTCACAACACACAGACTAGTGCTCAATTTTTTATAGTTACGTTCCTCAAATTTGGTACACGCAATACTAACTGTCAAAGCTACTGTTTTAACCAAAATTCACCACCTTTTAACCTGTTGTTGCATTGAGACATCTTTTGAAAAATAGCCCTCTTGCGGCACGAGATTTAACGACAGACCGTTTAACTCAGGAGCTCCCAAAATATCATATTTCTCATCTCAAATGACCAAAGAAGAAAAGTGTGTTCGCATTTTTTGACAGCTATTGTATTGCGCGGAGTACTACTAAAGCGGTTGAAGAAGTGCTTCTAAATTGAAAAATAATGCACTAAATCGAAAACGCGAACACACCTTTTATCCTTAGTTATTGATTAACATTGTGGTCAAATTTGGGACGAATCGGATAAAACGCTCTGTAGTTATACTCTTTTATTGTCGAGGAGATTGGGTAATTTTGGACATTTTGCTTTCTCTTCAAACGACGATATACGATTTGGCGAGGTTTCCACTCTTTGAGTTTCTCAGTGTCATTTTCTCCGCCCCCAAACCGATCGTAAACAAGTAAAACTTTATTACCCACAACTTTACCTGCACACTCACGACACACGACGTTTAACACACGAAACAGTCGTATACATAGGTTAGGCCTGACATTAATAACCGACTCGACTTCTGTTAATATCGTGGCTAGTTCATAAGTGACTGTCGCGCGCCCGATGGTCTTTTTAAGACACTGCTTCACAGTTTAATAGCAAGTGGCACAGCATGCCCACACTCCACAGCGAAACCTTCATGACGTCAATTTATTAAATGACAACAGTCAGCTAAAATTTTGACTGTAAATACTTCCGAAAAGAGGGAATATTCAGACCCTCTTTTCTAAAAGAATGTGACCATGGTCTAGATTGTGGTTGAAATATAATCCGTGATAAAGTCCATAAAATATCATATTTCACTTTGATATCACAAGGCAACTCGTTTGTCTTGTGACATCGGTGCAGTACGTACTGCAGTGATGGCGAAACAAACGCTTTTCTTTATGCTTTTTGTTCTCTCAATTTCATCTCGGATACTTGCAAAAGAATACAAAGTTGCTACGTTTGAACATCACCCATTCTTCATACTAGCGCCCGAACCACTCAGCAGAGAAAAAGCGTTGCAAATGATGAGGAAAAATACGGCTGTTTACAGCGAGCAAGCCAGAGCAGCTCGTAAACAAGGCGCACAGATCATTGTATTTCCAGAAGACGGCATATACGGTTTCTTCCACTCACGAGAAACAATAAAACCTTACTTGGAACCAATTCCTACAGTTTCAAATACTACATCTATCATTCCGTGCACAGACCCGAAACCCAACACTGAAATTCTGCAACAACTGAGCTGCATAGCGCGGAACAATTCTATTGCAGTGGTAGCAAACATGGGCGATATACAATATTGTTCGCAGAGAGATCCGAACTGCCCTAAAGATGGTAGATATCAGTACAATACTGATGTTATATTTGACAAGGACGGCAGACTACTAGCTAAGTACCATAAACAACATCTATATTTTGAAAAAGCTTTCAATACTCCGACCAAATGTGAATTTGTTACGTTTGTTACATCATTTCAGGTAGGTAGAGTGGATTGTGTTAAAAACAATATATGTGTTACTTTACACACTAAAAACACCTATAATTTGTTATTAGGGACGTAGAGTTAATAAAGTTTTTAATACACGAATCTTTCAAAAGTTCATGAGCAACCATATTCATAAAGATCCTGGGTACGAGGTTGACTCATTTCACGAACCAGGGCCGTACACAGGGGGGGGGGGCAACTGCCCCCCCCCCCCTCCTCAGAGAAAACTATATTTACGATTTTTATAATGTCATTAATAATTATTCTTTGGATATTTGGGACTTTTTCGGCATATAGGCCATACTGCTCCCCCCCACGGTGAAAAAATCCTGCGTACGGCCCTGTCACGAACGGTTTATAATTATAAACAATGCATTTATAGAGGCTTTGTTTACAATTCAATGAATTTTAATATGAACTTTGCAACGAAGTTGAGGGCGAAGTTTGCAACATTAATATTTAGGGAAAGGATAAGGGCCGATATGTGAAATCGATTGGTGTTAATTATCGTAACATTGCAATAATCCACGTCTCAAATTGTTATCAATTAGCACTGGGGTTGGATCTATATGGCTCTTGGGTTATGTCGTTTATTGGATACTCTTTTATGCAATCAAATTAGTTAATTCTTTTTGGATTTTCTTGAATAATTTGGTCTGGGTTAGGGGTAGGATAGTTTTGGGTTAGTTTACATAGTCATTTAACACCTCTTCCGACAATGACGTCATGTTAGCTTGGTGGTTGGAAATGAGTATTGACCTATAATTTTATGGGTCAATATATATTTTATTTATCAATTCTATTTACCACTACAATATTAGTTTAATTTTAAGACCTCGAAGGAGAGGACTTTCCCACTGCAGTGGTGCACGACGTGGGGTGTGAGACCATTTTGAGTTTTGACCATTGAGGTTTTGACTAACAATTACGGAATTTGTTTCCCTAGTAGTATTACGTAATTTGACTAAAAATTCCTGAGGCTCAGCGGAGGGGAGTGGGAAAAGTCCAACGAAAACATTAGTGTAGTGTCATCATGGTAAGGTGATGTTACATGGGGTAATTTTCAAGCAACCATTAGTAATGCCACGCATTGCCGAAACAGTCGAATAACGTAACCCATTATTAAGATTCGTCGGTTAATTAAAATCATTACGCGCGTAACATAGACTACTCTTGATTGTATGCAGTTATTAAAATACAGGTTACTGACCGTTCAGTAACCAATCAAAATGGTTTAATGCTGCATTTTACAGATGGACCACCATTCCATATAATAAAGGATGTTATTTAAAATATATTTATAAGCATACTATAGCCACTTGGTGTGCAGCACATTTTGATTTTAGGTCTGAAGAATAATTAAATTAAGGGAATTGAAATTGTCAGTTAAATATAGCGGAGCGAAAATTTGGAATAACTTTTCAGTAATCCAGTATAAATTGTAAAATAGACAAACCAAAACCATTAAATGTTTTTGTTGAACTACAATATGATAGCAATGCAAAGAATGAGGAGTTATTTCTATGGTTTAGTACGTCTACTCACAGCTGCATTTCATTGGCTATCATAACAATCCCTGACCGATGATAACACGTCCTTGTTGTAGGATGTTGTTTTAACATCTAACGTAACGACGTAGCTAACGTACTAAGAACTCTTGATAATGACAAAGCTCATGGCCCGGATGAGATTCCTGCTTGTTTACTAACAGAAACTGCATCTCAAATAGCTCCATCTCTATGTGAATTGTTTAACAATTCGTTGCGTATTGGCGTGGTAACATTTGATTGGAAATTTGCTAATGTTGTTCCTGCTTATAAAAAATGAGATGGGGAGTTTGTGTAAAAGTATATAGACCTATATCTCTGCCCTCACTGGTTTCGAAGGTTTTGGAACGCTGTGTCTTCAATATTATTAAAGATGATATTTTCTGTCGAATAAATCCTTGTCAACATGATTTCCCCCCTGGGAAACACTGTGTGACCCAACTTATCGAAGTTTTTGACAAGATAGGAAAACTGACAACTATATCGTGGCAAACAGATAGATGTAATTTATTTACTAGATATGTCAAAGGCTTTCGTCTGTGTTTGTGTGTATGTTTGTGTTACACTGTACTTGTAAATCGTACGTTTTGTCATTTTGGGATCACAGTAATTGCCCGAAGCTGTTGTGACTTCCTGTCACATTTGTAATCATGTTATATATAGAATTATTGTTATCTGTCATGTATTCGCGTTGTGACAAAGCTTATAAAATTCAAAATTAAAACTACTGAGTATTGAGCCATGCATGGTTTAAATAAACACCTATGGCTGCAATTAATTTTTAGTGAATTTAAAGCATTTTAGTATTGTTGTGCCATTACAACTATATATTGAAAAACCAAATTTATTTTGGGTGTTTTCGCGTTTCGGTAAATAGCCTCATGTCAAGATGTGATTGTAAAATTCAAAGCCACAAAATAGAAGGCTCGCTTTGTTTGATGTTGAACTGTACTTCACCGTGCACAGACCTTTGTCTCAACTTCATTAAATATTACTCATCGTGGTTGCACGTTTCACCTCTGCTATTTCTATTGGACGATTACTTCATTATGCGAAAATACATTGAGCCAATCACCGTGACCGTGCACAATAAAATTAACATAAACTCAGACAAAAACATAATACATGCAATGACTTCTGTTTAGTTTCCACATCAACATATCTCGACAGACTATGTTCGGTAACATACTTCAAGTAAAAAAACCCAAACGTCTGTTTATCCAATTTCTCTCCAACCGGCTGTGCATGTTGTGGTGTCATGTAGCTTTTTGCTATCACTGCATTAATGTCTTGCCTTAGTAAATTGATAAGACTCAGTTCGCTACCAATCCCAGGGGTCGTTTGTTCGAAAGCCAATTAGCCTAATCCTAGGTGAACCCAAAACTCAAAGCAAACTTCCCAACCGCTTGGTTATAAATTTAGGATTATTTTGTAATCGTGTCTGGATCAGTAGGAGTTTTGAAATAACTGAACTTATTATATGGAAGGCGGTCCATCTGCAAAATGCAGCATTTTGATTGGTTCCGGAGCGGCCGGTAACATGCAGTACGTACCACTGATCTCAGTATGGATCTCCCAAGCATGCGAAGATCAGACACCTCACACCTGCCGTACTGAATAGTCTGAATGACTGTGTCAATATTTAAATGTATCTTTAAAATGTTTTTGTTAAATAAATTTTCGGCATTAAAAATTAAACGTAACGATTTGAATCGTGAGGAATGTGACAGATTTAAAATCTCTCACTAGATAAATATTCTGGCTTCAAATTTAATTTCCGGAATTCGAAACGTAGGTCCATCCAGTGGTAGTTTTGAGATCAGTGAAAATAACCCACTATTTGTTTCAGGTACGTTTTGGTGTATTCACATGTTTTGACATGTTATTCAAAGACCCTGCAATTGATCTAGTACAAACCTATGGTGTACAAAACATTGTTGTTCCCACTGCTTGGTACAAAGGCTTTCCTGCGCTTGTTTCCATCGAGTACCATCAAGCCTGGTCACGTGTAAACTGCGTGAACCTCGTCACAGCAAACGTGTATTATCCCAACCGCGGTCTCAATTTTACCGGAACAGGAATTTACGATTGTGGCGAAGCGAAGACGTATACTTACGGCGAGGAGACGATTGAAAAACGACTTCTTTTTGCTACATTATCAGGAAACAGAGAAGCCCAAAACGATAAGACTGATATGCTGTACCGGTGGCGGCGTGATATCGAAATGGTTAAAGAATTTGGTATGGACAGGAAAATACCCCAAGACATAGACAATGAAAACAGAATGCTTGACGATCCATATGACAGCATAAAAACATTTAAAGCAAAAATTATGGGGAATGTATTCACATTAACAAAACTAACCTCCCCTGCAAGTGAGTTGTCAGTATGTGTTAAAGGTTTATGTTGCAATCTTAAATACGGCTTACCTGAAGGAAAACAGTTTACAGAAACATTTGCTATGGGGACATTTATTGGTAACAATCCTGATGGTTTTTATTGGGAGGTGTGTTTGCTTCTTAAGTGTGCATCGAGTGAAGAAAGTTCATGTGGCACGACTGTGATGGATTCTGGGACAGTATTCCAATCATTCACCATGAGCGGCAACTTTTCCAGTACCGCTTTGGTTTTCCCAATGGCTTTAGGGAGTGGTGTCTCCCTCTTTTCCACAGATAAAGTCAAGTTTGCGAATAAGAGTATTTCAGGCAAAGCATTACAGAAACCATTGTTGACAGCATCTCTTCTCGGTAGAGTGTATTCCAAGGACAAACCACACAATTGAAACCTGGGATGCACTGACTTCTATCAATCATATGTAGTTCTAATTAATAATTGTAATAAAAAGAACCATTCTTTTTTGCGAAAGAATTGCTTTCGGAAGGAAATTTGTTTTTTTTCTGCCAAGCAGAGCAAGTATTTTTTCTAGTGAAATAGCTGTGCAGTGTTTCTTTCTCATCTTGACCACTGCAATAACAGCAATATTTATATTTTTTTCTCATCTTTAAATTTTTCTCGACAAGTATGCAGTGATCAAGACAATATCAAACTATATACAACCTCAACTGTTGTGGGAGAGTAAACTCGGATGGACAGCAATATAATGATATTAGGGGGTAGTCCAAGTGACGAACGATACCATACGAACCATTAAAGTAGAGAAAATTCTACTTGGCCCGACTGAGATTCAAGTTCAAGATTATGACTCAGTTTTAAAATATTACAGTGCGTAAGAAACCAACTTGTATATAAATAATTGTTTTACAACTTTTATTATTTATAAATAATAGCATTAAAACTTTCATTATATATAAATAATACAGATCTCCTAAAGTTATTATATATAAATAATTGTTTTACAACTTTCATTATATATAAATAATAGCATTAAAACTTTCATTATATATAAATAATACAGATCTCCTTTAGTTATTATATATAAATAATTGTTTTACAACATTCATTATATATAAATAATGTAAATCTCTAAAAGTTATTATATATAAATAATATCATCTTTATTCCATTATTTATAAATAACGGAAAAGTTCACCCGTTTTTCTACTAAATAATAAATTTACACTTGGCGCCCCATAGTGGGGCCACTAACGCCACTTAGATAACACTAACCAATCACATTGCAGAACAAAAATAGAAATCTAATCAAACTACAGCTCGTCCAATCAAAAGAAAGCATGGAGTTCGCTTCAGGAAGCCAGTAACTGCAGTGTTCACTTTTCAAGTCTATTTTTACCGTTTGCCATTTTCAAATTGTTTTTGGCCTAATGCTGATTGACTAATGCGCCGTTTGTTGATTTTTTCTATTTTTGTTCTGCAATGTGATTGGTTAGTGTTCTCTAAGTGGCCCCATGCGGCCACTTACTGTAGATGCACTGTAAAAACCCTTGAAGTACCATCTTTCAACGATATGCTCCCAACTTGACCTGTACATCAGTCGACAAAGCATTGGACTGTATAGTAAACCGAAGGACGTGGGTTCGTATCCCAACCAAGTAGAGTTTTCTGTACTTGTATTGTTCCTCACTCGGAGTAGTAGCTCCTCTAATATCGTGTATACAACCGTTTTAGACAAAAACAATGGGAAGGAATCCCTTTCCCAGACGTGTGGGGAGTAAGACCTGTTCCCGGGTAGTTTTTCTCTCGCAGACCATCATACTGCAACTACGATCGAACCATTGACCCGAATCTTTAATGGTGGTTTCAAAAAACGTCAGCTAGAACATAAAGCTGATAGCCGAAGATGTGCTAATTAATTGATATTGTGGACTTGCATGTATACAGTTCAGTGGACAAAACAATATAAACCTGCAAGATTTTTTTATAGCCACACAGAACCTGTATACGATATTATTTTTTTCTAACTTTCCTGGTATGATTTTTTCTTTGTTTCGGAGTCTGCAAGATGTTTTATCAAAATCTTCCGACTCCCCCCCCCCCCTCAAAAATCTACTGGTCCCCCTCCCCCCTAAGTATAATTTTATCTGTATTCGTGATGTGGATGTCTCATTGTGTCAAGGGCTTGAGCAAGAGAACGAAGTACGACTGAGGCGCAAATTTAAATGGTACTATGATCAAATGCCTACAGCATGGACGGGTATTATGACTTATCTATACATGCACTTACCTGAATTCCATACTTAGCCTGGGCTATTTTATTCAGTTTACAACGTACAATTGTGATATTGCTATTCGTTGTTTATCGTCAACGGCCTCAGTCAACTTTCTCTGTGTGAGGAAGCCGGAGCACCCGGCCGAGAAAACCCACGACTTTCAGCAGAGCGCTAACTTACTCTTTTTACATGAGTCCATAGCGACCCAGCTAGCACAAAATGAACATCCTCACAACGTTTTTAAAACGTGCAGCTTACGTTGGTAAAACGTTATCACTCTACGTGCGCTGGACGTGATTTTGTCGACTCCAGTGGACGTTGTCACAACGTAGTAAGACAACGTAAGAAAAACGCTTTCACAACGTTCATGAAACGTTAATTTATTCAAGCAATTCGAGAATCGAACCTACCATCAAGGGCGTCAATCCATCCCAAAAAGTGTGTGGGGACGGCCTCCAAATTAGGATGGTCCGGAGGTATGCTACCCGAAATTTTTTTTAATTTTGGTACAATGAAATGGCATTTCCAGCGTTTTGGAGGCACTTGTAAAGTTATAGTACAATGTGCATGATCTTAAATCCATTTTTAACCATGTGAGAAATTCGCTAAAAAACAAGGTTGTGCAAGTGGGATAAAGCACATCAAAGTTGTTAATTATACAGGGTGTATAAAAAAAAAACTGAACAGATTTGAAATTGCTCTCAATTTCGCAAAACACCGATTTGTATCCGGTTTTTTATAGATATGGCTTCTTTGGGTACTTAGAATGTAGAATAATGAAAAAAATTTCTTGAACTCAAATATTGTGAACCAGGGGGGTGTGTCTTTTCCAACAAAATAAAAATGGCTTGCGCACAAAATTTAAAAGCTGTAATCATATTTTGAGTTAATAGATGGAAAATTTGTTGGGTTTTTCATTACTGTACAAAATTTCAGACAATTTGGTTTAGTTTAAGCCGTTTAACTATGCACGCAAAGTTACATTTTTCCTAAAAATCAGCTATTTGCATGCTTAATTAATGCATTTCCTAATTTGCATATGTTAGCAATATGCAAATTAGGTAAATGTATTAATTAAGCATGCGAAAGGCTGATTTTTTAGAATAAAATGA